CAGCTTGACAGGAAAAGCCAAGAGCGGGGCATGAACACCCACTAGTACCAGGTTAAAGTTTAACGATTGAGGTCGCGTAAGACACTCGTCACCAAGCGTAAGATCTATGGCAGTAGCTCTTGTCTTTTCTTTCAATCAAAAACGTTGCAGAAGCCCACCAAACAAAAAGCATGATCCTTTTACACTCAGTGTACCCCATGTGGAAACACCAAGAGATGCAGACAATGTCCATGCCAACTCTGCAAATATGCGTCCCTCTCTGGCCCAGCCTGAAGGATCAGGATGCCACTGCCCGCCAAGAAGCCCGCAACCACGGTGTAGGGTATGAATCGGAGCATCATGGCCTCTGTATGCTGCCACACAGCCCACAGATGCAATTGATGGCGTGCAGAGGACTCTTTCGAACATGAGGTTTCCCGAACTCACTACCAGTAATTACATGAAAATTTGACAAAATAATAGATATCGCGTATTAAAATATCTCCCTGGCTTTACCTGCAGAAGCTTGGCTGCTTTGTGACGTGCCGGAAGCTCATCAACCTTCTGGCATGGCATCATTCCCAACAGGACATGGCCGAAAACCTTCCCTTAAAATCAGAGTGCCCACTCTGTCAAGGGTCCATCCACTATAGTTTAGCATCAGTAGTTTGAAAAATGGACACGCTTGAGCCAAGTGGAAAAGTGTCTGCTACGCCCACCCAGCTATGCCCGCCCGGCTATGCCCGGTCCAAGATGTCCAAGCGGCAAGCTTCAACTTGCCAACAACGTACAGCGCAAGGCCCAAGCACAAGGAGATGAAGGGCATCAAAAGCATCACGTTGCTTAGGATCGTCTCCTCACCCCCTCTGCCACGTCACCAATTTCACTGTCACCAATCAAACGAATCGAACAAGGAATGTTTGCCATGCAGGGGAAACAAAGTAAGCCTTCAATTGTCTCTACCGTGAAGCAAACAGCGAGTAAGTTTCAGAGCTCGGTCCTGACTCTCACCCGTTTGCAGGCGGGCCACCTGCACAGTTCAACATATTCCCAGTGCCCAGCTGGCCCCTCTCCCCATAGCTCCCCGACCTTTCGAGCCAACTGTCCGAAGAGGATGGCCGTTAACGGATCCAGGTTGGTGGTGGTAACAAACTGGCCAATGAACAGAGCGATGATGGATCCTTTCGCGACATCTGCATCCAACTGCAGCTAGAGAGCTGTTGTTGTCTGACATCTAACCAAATTCTCAGCTCTGAAATTTCACTTTCATGCAAACACCTGAAAGAAACTTGCAGCTCAGGCTGTCTTGGCCGATCTTCCCTCCAGCAAAGTGGGCCAGTGAAACCGAAACCAGGTTCCAGGACCAAATTGCTTGACTTCGTCGCCCAGTGATCTGTCTTCTGTGTAGTACGTGCACATCTTCTGCAAAACTGATAGATGCAGCTTGCTTTAGAGGTGGGGCATCTTGGGGGCGCAGCTGTTTTCCGCCGGCCGCCGGACAGGTTTCTGGCTGATTCCGCCGTCCGCCGGCCGGTAGTTTTGGCTGATTCCGCCGGCCGCCGGATGGGGACGTGGCTGATTCCGCCGGCCGCCGACTCCGACAGGTGGTTTGGGGCATCACTGGCTGATTCCGCCGGCCGCCGCGCTGGCTGGCTGGCTGGCTGATTCCGCCGGTTGTTGGAGTTGGCTGGCTGATTCCACCGGCCGCCGCGCTGGCTGGCTGGGTGGCTGGCTGGCTGGCTGGCTGGCTGACTGATTCCGCCGGTTGTTGGCTGATGGCTGTGGTGTGGGGCATGGCTGCCTGATTCCGCCAGCCGCCGCGCTGGCTGGCTGGCTGGCTGGCTGGCTGGCTGATGCCGCCGGTTGGCGGGGTTGGCTTAGCTGATTCCGCCAGGGTTCAGGGATCCATCTTTTTTGCGTGCGCCCTTGGACAGGATTTCACCTCCTATTAGGCTAGACATCCCTGCGCAAGTCTTCCGGTGGATGTCTTGATGGCCATGGTATCTCCTAGTCTGCGTCCCAGCCGCAAGGTCGGGTCACTTTTGTCTGCGACTGAGATGGTGATAGCATAATGGCTCTACCATCCTCAAGCTGCTTGAGTCTACGGTCTGTCGATCTGTTTCGGCAGTGGAACCCTAAAGTATCTACAGCTTTGCAGGGATTGTCATTTTTATCATTTTTTCCCCGAGCAGGGAATCTGTTAGAAGCAGCTCAAATGTTTTATACCTCCAATGCCGAAACCTTGCTAGTGAGTCACCGGGCCATGAACACCATTTGGTTGGAATCGGTTCATACTGCGCGAAATTCACGAAAACATGTCTAGCAAAAAGAATTTGCCCTTGAGCACATGAAGGCCCAGCCGCTCGACCCTCTCATGTCTCTGGGTCTGGCACCCATGGCGCGCAATGGCCCGGGTCAGACACCTCCCTGTTGAAGGCATCGTTGGGCAACATGGAGGTCAGCCTTCGGATCCACACAGAACTTGCGCTACGGAAAAGGCTTCAGATCGCCTCGGCAACTCAGTGACCCCCAGAATTCTGTGGCAAACGTTCAATCGGATCCTTATGTTTATGTTTAAAGTTTTGATTTTTAAAGCTAGTTATTGTTTATGTTTAAATTGATGTTCATGACTTTTTGGATTTGTGGCCTGTAGCCGTGTTGATTGTTTCCGGGTGGTTCCAATGTACAAGTACCGGATATGTTCATGATAATTTGTGCTACTTTTTAGCATGATTGATGAGTTGCATGGTATGCGGAAATGGTTCTACAAACATCATCATCATTTGCATGTCAATTGCTTTTTCACTACTATGGTGATATTCTCATCAAGTTCGTCATGATGCGTTGCAATCATTATGCAAGGTCATCATCATGCTCAACATGTGAGAAGTTTAGTATGTTTAGGTAAGGACCGCTGGCGTGAAATTTTGGACATGTTGGAAGTTCTCTCATCCTCAACCAACTCGGGCGAAAGCATCGGGGTCTGCGAACTTCCGGTCCACTTGGGCATAACAAGTTCTGTTGGACAAGTTCTGATGATGATGCTGATAGATGATGATGATGATGATGAGGAGGAGGAGGAGGACGGTCATCATGATGACGATGATCATGATGATGATGGTGTAAACGCCATGCCTGACTGGAATCATGATAGAAACATCGAAACATCGTCATATCAGGCACCTTTCTGCCATGCCAACAACATTGCGTCCATGCTGTCACCCCACGTCCCCCGCCACCGGCGGCCCTGTGCACGCCTGGCGTTCCAAACGCCGTTCCAAATCCCTCTGCGACTCGGCGGCGACGCGGTGCTGCGCCTGGTTCGATTGTTTTCGCTGGGGATCGACATGTGGCATATGGATTTTTAACTTCGGAATCATTCGGATATGGAAAGTTGGAACATGCCTGCGCAAATGCATATTTACATATCCAACCCTATACCCCGTCTGATGCATATATCGTTTTTGTATGCTATATATTGCTGTATGGTCTATCCGTGTCTTGCGACACAGCATACATGAAAGTATTGATTCATACATAGCTAAAGTGAGCCAAATCCACATTCACTTCTTCGCGCAAGATCTTGCAGCAGGTAAATGAGAACGCACAAGATAAGTGGTGTTGAAGTCCTTTAAGTTTGTAGTAGCGCCAAAGGCCATGACCAAACATCATAATTCCAAAGCTTGTTTCGACGGCCCTGGAAACATCTGTAGAGCACCCTCTGCCTCACATGTGTCCAACTCCCTCTGATTGCAGCTCTTTTCGCTGTCAAAGCCTGAGGCAAAACTTGCGATGCCGCAAGAAGCAAACGATTCGGATGGTTTCTGAGGGAACCAGTTCAACCGGCTCTGGGTTAAACAGAAACATGGCCACACACTCAAAACCTTATATGAGACCATGACAAAACATGACAGACCAACCATGAACGGACAAGGGGATACCTATCAACATCATTTGCCCAAGACTGCTCGTCATTGATGGCGCAAGCCCATCAGCTACCAATCAACGCAGGTGTCTGGACTCATGAGCTTTGCATTGCATCGTACAATGGGTCCCATGGTTTGGGCGTATAGCGGGGTGCATGACATTTTGCCCTGGCCATGGCCACCACCGCCAGCTTGTTTTTTTCACAAGGGTACCTGGACACTAGGAGTACGTCTGCAAGTACATTGTATATAGATATTTATTGCCTTCACTTTCGCACACTCAACTGGACAGCACGCAGCAGTCTTTTTGACACGTTGGGGATTTCGCTCGCCACGGGAAGCACTGATGGTGGCGCCACTGGAGGTAGATGGAGCGCTGTAGCTGGCACAACAGGCGCAGCTTATGGATCTTGACTTGGGTGATGACCAGCCGCAATTGATTGGTGAGAGTACGCAACATGGGAGGCACTCCATAGATGTTGAGATCACGGAGGTCGTCCTCAAGGCCATCAAGTTCGTACAGGCATTGTTCCATTTGTTGTTGAATCCGGTCAATGGCAAGAATGGGCTCCAATAATTGCTGGATGGAGCGTGGAGCTGGGACAACAGCTAAATGCATGGCCGTCGAAAATTTTGAAAAGGAAGTACATGGAACATGAATGCACATGTGATGACGCTGAAACATGTAAGCTTGGTTACCAAAGGGACATGACAAAGTAAGTTGTTTGGGGTGGGGGGAGGGAACGAAAATTTTGGGAAAATTGAGCTGATAACAGCTGTCAGAATGTGTAATGATGTGACTGCAAGCTGTGCCCATGTCCAATTAACATCAAGGAGTGTGACAACTGTACATTACAGTCTTTAGTGTTGTCAATAAAGCCTTATCCCTACGGGAGAAGAACCTTATTGCCTTCACTTTCGCACACTCAACTGGACAGCACGCAGCAGTCTTTTTGACACGTTGGGGATTTCGCTCGCCTTCCCCCACTTTTGGGAGCGGACACATCGTCCATAGTGGTACATCATTTGGTCAAGCATTCATTTGGAGTTTGGGTTGGCTGACTCTTTGATTAGTATTTCATCCACTGTAGCATCGACATCGATGTCAATCTGAAGGTTCACATCGAACCCATCAAGAATCTCCCTTGACGGGAGGTCTGCAATGTTGGCTGCTGATGGAACTCTTTCATACCAAACAACTGATCGAAGGGATTGTTCCCATTCCAAGATGCCTTGAATTATCTGCCCATCAAGGCCAAGTCCACTCCTTCCAGAGATGATTCTACCCAGGACACCATCATTGTCCAAGAAGACCACTATCCTGTCTGCGGGGCTGATCGCTGCTGAGTGCAGTAGGAGTGTGGTTCCAGTCAATGCTGCCAAGGCTTCAAGTTCAAAAATGATGGTATCCTTTCCCAGGGGATTCAACCGAGCGGCTTGGGCTTCTGTCACATGGGCAGAAAAGTATGAAAGCATTTCTCCAAGTTCATTGTAGAGAACGCCACCAAGGCCTCCTTGGCCATTTTCATAGCAGGCGTCAGTATAGAGATGGAAAACTTTGCCAATCCCAGAATCCACCGTGCGAGGCTCTCCCCTCACAACTCTGTCTCTAAGAAACATCAGGCTCACTTTGAGTCCAGCATCGATTGGCGCAGCGCCGACAGCGTGTTCCCACCGGCTGAGGTTTTGCATGTGCAGCCCCGACAGGCGTCCAAATATTTGGCTCTCCGCAAAGATTAAACGACCACGGAGCACTCTCATCTCAGCTGAGGTCAGTTGGCCTCTCAAGGATGGAGTCAATGGTCTGAGTCAACTCTGCTGCTCTGGCCGCCACATTGCACACTGAAAAGAGACCGGCTTTGGAATCTGACAAGTCGATCTGTACGCCCAAGATCTTGGATATTGACCTGAACTCGGCCTCCTTTTCTGACGACGTCTCCCATCCCAAAATCTGGAACAACAGACGTTGAGCCATGTCAACATGACGCTCTTCAAGCTCTGATGCCACCAAGAAGTAGTCGTCAAAGAAGACAGTCCAGTGAAGCCCAAAAAGGCTGACACCAATGCGCCAGAGGGCATATGACGTCCTGCAGAAACCCATGACCGCCGCCCTTGCTCCGAATGGAAGCACTAGGGTTTGGAAGGCTTCAGGTTCGCCCGTCTCGGGGTTCATGACGCACAAGTACGCGTCTCCCAGGGCTTCTGTAGCCAGTGGAAGATTTTTGTAAGCCTTTCGCAAATCAATCGTCTTTCCAGTGAGCTTCTCGTGGCCCCAGGAACGATCTCTGTATACCATTGTTGCAAGGATGGAATCCACAGCCATTGGTTGGATCGATTCAGCACAAGAGTTTGTTGAATTGACCAAACTCTCTGAAAAATCATCAGTCGGTCTCACCTTCATTGTGCGACTTCCGTCTGATAAGGTGGATGACTGCTTCACTCCAAACCTCCTGGTCAAGATTGCCTCCTTGGGGAGATCCTGGGGTGCAAACGGGCCCCGCAGCCAGCCCTTGTCTCTTTCCTCGAGGGTGATGCGGTGCACTTCAACGGCGACTTCTGGATCCATGATCTTTTTGGCCGCCTCCCAAATTGCCGGTCTGGCAACATCAGCCATGCGCCTAACTTGTTCTGGCAAGAGGGTGGCGTACGAGGGCCTGTCTGGGTAGATTGACCCGGTTGGTATGTCTCCCATCAAGTTGAAGCCTCGGGCAACGTCCTTGGCCAGTCCAATGTCTGGAGATCCAGAGGCGCTGATCATCTCCTCAAACAGTTTCAAGTTTTTCTTGGCTAAGATGGCCTTGGCATGGCAGGGCGAGTCACCTTTGCCATCTTCTACGCCTCTAGCCAGTTCAGACGCTCTGGTTATCCATTTCCTCATCTGTTCAGATCGTTCTTTCGCCCTGCAAGAAAGTGATTTGTTGGCTCCACTGTCAAACATGCTCTTGAGTACTGGGTGTACACCGTCGAGGAAATGGCCTGGGTGTGATCGGCCTGCCGCTCTTGCAATGAATGCTTGTGGTGTCCACGCAATTCCATAGACTGTCTCCCATCTGTCAAATTCGGCTTTCTCCCCCACTTGGTAAGGAAGTTTGATGCGTTTGGCTTGAGCAGGAATGTAGGAGCTGTGTGGCGACGTTGTGCAAGTAGTGGGAACTGGAGTATCACTGTTGCACTTAGTAGGAAGCTCGGTTAGGACGCACTGGGGCCCTTGTATGGTTAGGAAATAATCATACTCCCTCATGAGGGGTTTGAGCTTCTTGCCACGAGGTTGTGTGCCAGTTGCCACTTTGCTAGCCTGCACCAAAGAGATGTCGCTGTTGGGAACGAGTTCTTGAGGCGACTCAATGGCACCAAGGGAAAGGAAACATCTGTAAAGACATTGTGCCCAAGCTTGGCAAAGCTGATGTGGATATTCCACTTCGGTTGCAGTTGCCCAACTGCCGGAAGAGGTGACTCCCCAGGCATCATGTGGGTGGTTGCCATCACATTCGAGGCCTAGTGGTGCTAAGCAATGGTGATTGCAAAGTACTTTGGTACGTTTCCGCCTTGTTGCCCCATACATGCAGTGATGGAATTCAACAGAGTATAGTTGAAGGCCATATAGGTGCTTCTGCATGTAGGAGGTGGCCCAAGCATGGCTGCGAAGTGGGTTCTCAATGGATGCTATGATACCATTGGCTGTGGCCCACTCCATGACCTGGCTGCAGAGTAGGTACAGTCGGTTGGCTGCACGCACTTTCTCCAAAGATGCACCTGTCAGTGTACAGAGTCCATCTGGGTGAGCTGTAGAATGTAACGGTGGCGGATTGTACCGCCGCTTGTGTTTGATCTCTCTGGCTCGGCTTGAAGTGCCGCAGGGAGGCCCCATGTGCACTGCAGCAATGTTGTCGTTCTGCAAGATTCGCCATAAAAGAGTCTGGCCAGTTTCTTCGGCAAGGTTGATTCGTATGACTGGAGATTTGACTTGCTTGGTGACGTGTGCGTCGATGCCAATGGATTGTGTCAACCCCATTCTCCTGACGGCTGCTGTCAGACCACCTGTACCAGAAAAAATTTCGATTGTAAAGAGCCGGGACATTTGTTTGCCTGATATCCGGGCTGCAAGCTTCGCTTGAAAATTATCTGTAGGAAAATTTGGTGTGGGAACACTTCGGTTACCAGAAGATTGCATTGAAGGACCGGCACTTACAGAAGTCACCTGTTGGAGTGGTCGGTTCTTGGCAGAATTCTTGGATTGCTTCGGCATTATAGGGCCCACAGCCTGCCCCTCGGCAGTACGTTTGCAGGCAGGATGCCTTGGACTAGCTGGTGCTAGTCAGGCGTTGGGTTTGGATGGACACTCATAAGCTGGATGTGTCCCCAAGCACCGCATACAATAATGCCCACCTTAAATTGAGCTGATAACAGCTGTCAGAATGTGTAATGATGTGACTGCAAGCTGTGCCCATGTCCAATTAACATCAAGGAGTGTGACAACTGTACATTACAGTTTCTTTAGTGTTGTCAATAAAGCCTTATCCCTACGGGAGAAGAACCATATGTATGTGTGTACCCACATGTCAGTCTGAGCAACGCTTGCAATTATGTAGTTGCATGGTGTTGTCTATTGTTTTTATCTTGGTTTATCCATATAGAAGTAACCAACCAGGCATGAACAACCGGCACACATATCTCTAACCTGTACAAGTGAATTTCCGTTGATGTTAAGGGAACGGTGGTTAATTCCTTCATGCCTCCAAACTGTACGGGTACCCATGACCTGTGATAGTACCAGTGTCAGTGAATCTTAGGACCCACAGATTAGATGATCAACGTGCGTTATGGTCGCTAAAACTCAGGGAAGAAAGCGAAACAAATGTACAAGAATGGGTGCATTTTTCCCTTGTAACGTTAACACGAAGAACAAATTTTTCAACAACTCCGCGCAACGCGCTTGGCGGGTTTGGATGTCTGTGGATGCCTGCTCGCTGTGAACCTCATGCAGTATGACACAACCGGTGTAAAGGTGAACTCATCCCATGACGCCAAGGCTCGGTCGTCGAAGTTCCTGGAGTCAGGGTCTTGCTCGGTGAGTTCCTTGGATTAAGTTGACGCTAGAGAAGGCATCCGGCGGTAAACAGTGGCCCGCGGGCACCCTTAGATTCTGGAATTAATGTTCACTTTGATCTCAGATGAAAACTCAGCGTTCGTTGCAACTGATCGCCCCGCATCATGGGACATCACGTATGCTGCGATGATGGTACGTTTTTTTTGGGAAGAGCGTTGCGTTGAAACTTTCCTTTTGGAAAATTTGTGCTCTCCGAAGTTCAATACCTGTAAAAACATTACAAGTCAGCACAACATCCCAAAGTTCAACCTCACCTAAAAGGCATGTTTAGTTCATAGCATAGCATAGTATAGCATAGCAAAGCATAGCACAGCATGGCATAGCACAGCATAGCGTCGCATAGCATAGCACAAGGAAGAAAACTTTGTGTAGCGGTGCAAGTGGACGGAACCGCAGCCCAAGGGAAAAAAACGTTTCACTTTGCGAGTTCGGCTTGGCCTACCTCAGGTCAGTCACCGTTTTACCGATCAAGGAGCGCTATGTGCGCGTGCTTACGAATAGTGGGTTTCTGACTGTCTGACCTTTCTTTGTTCTGGGTCTGCGTGCTATCTTTTTACACCTTGCGCCACTTCGTCTCGTGAGGGGTTTGAACCCATTTTGGCTCCTCCTGGCTTCGCCAGTTGCTAATCTTCTTGCCTCCAAAATTACATACCACGCAAACTACTTTGCATTGCATAGCTTTGAGCTCGTTCGTGGTCATAGCATGGAGCTCTGCGAAGTGGAACGGGCTGAGTTGATCTCGGCATAAATTGATGTACTTGCGGAAGTTTGTCTGAATGCCGTCCTGGTCCAAGCTGCAAGCCCTTTGAAACTTCAGTGTATTAGGCCCTAAGGCTGTGTTCTCCAAATCCACACCATCTCTCCATAAGTTCCATTCGGCAAAAAACCCGGCCATGTGCGGCATCATCAGGTTCCGTCCGCGGTGAAATCTCGTTGCGCCGAGTGCCTCATATAAAGTTTCTTCGTTGAAAAATTCCGGGAGCACATGGTTCCAAGCATACTCAGCAGCTCCAACAACGTCGCTCAGGGTATAACCAGATAAGTCCGTGTTGTACTTTTGCTTGACACCAGTGCGAAGAAAACGCGGAGGCAAAAATCGCTTTGCGGGATAAGGGTTGCAAGAGCGTTTGTACGCACCAAGTAAATGCAAGAAGTCGGAACTTTGCATACCTCTGCACACGCGCTTTGCTAGCCACTTCGCAAATCCCAGGCTGCGCAAGAAGGCAATCAAAAACAAAGTCACTCGCGTGACTGGCCCCTCATCCATGACTCGAATGATGATATGACCACAACGGGTAATTGTGTCTGTGCGTTTGTTGATGGTGTGGATGAAGGAGCCACGCACCGCTTGGTCAAATGTCAGATAATTATCACCCAAGGTTGCTAACGGATTAGCGATGTCCAAGGCGGTTGTCCAGTTGGGTACAAACCGCAAAAGAATCAGTTCGGCCAACACAATGACTGCAAATGGGATTCTCAACTGCTTTGCCACACACAGCGGACCAAGCTGCTCAAGGACTTGCAGAACTTCCACGAAATCGCCATCGCGCAGTTTCTTCGCTGATTGCACTGCAACTTTCAAGTGGGATGGCACTGGTTTATCCGCCGGCAAGGTTTTCAGAGCTTGGATTTTTTCATGGAGCGGTTTTTCTCGGTTGGGCATGGCGCAGCGCAGCCGTTTCCTAATCTCCTCGAAAAAATCTTTCAACAACTCTTTGACCTTCGGAATTCATCTCTTTAAACATAGCTGTGGCTAAAACATATGGATCAAAACATGGGAAAAATAAACGCACTGTCACGTTGAACTTCAAACATGTTTGAGACCACCAACTAGTCATCAGTTGGTCTGTCATAATTTGCGAATTATTTGTGGACTGACGACATGCGATTGAACTGCTGAAACATAACTGCGCCATTCATGGAAATGGCGAATCACGCCCCCACGGATGATACTTATTTAACACACACTCACCGGGACGAGGGATAAGTGGATTGAACAATCAATATAACAAGAATGATGGCGCTGTTCTCGATTCTGGGTCTCATGTCCTCAGTATCATGTAGGGACCCTAGAAGGGTCTCATATATAAACAAATGTCGCCAATGTTGCACTACATATAACTCTCAGATGGATAGATGGACAGATGGATAGATAGATACGTTGATAGATAGATATAAATAGATACATAAACTGATAGGTAGGCAGATTGGTAGATAGATAAGAAAATAAATAGATAGAAAAATGGATAGAGAGACAAAAATGGATTATGACAACGTGTGTACATGTGTATGTATATATGTTTTCTTTTTTTTTTTCGCCCGCGCGCTCCTTTTTACCGCATGAAGGTCTGAAGGGGGGGGTCCGGAGTCGCACGCACAGCTTTCGCTGACCAAGTGCCGGGCCACTTGGAGTTTGGCATAAGTCCAATGCCAGGGGTGCCCCCTCAAGGTCGTATAGGGAGGCGGGATGCCTGGGGCAGGGGGGTGGGGGTGCAGTGCTGGAGGAGGGTGCTCAAGGGGATGGCTTCGCCATCTGGGCCGGTGTGGGTTGCCGGGTCTTGCATCGTGAGACTGGCTGCAAAAGGAGCTTGGGCTGCCTGGGTCAGTAATGCGGACCATCTCGCGATGGATGCCTGGATGGCAGCTGGTCGCAGAGCCTGGGGGACTGCTCTGCTTCTGGCTTGCGCAAGGCGCCGAAGGAAGTCCGCAGCTTCTTCGCTCCATCGCCCTCCGACTTCCATGGCCAAAACGACCAGGCGACAACGGTCTCCCCGCACAAGTTCTGGGTATGTGCGTTCTTTAGCTTGTCTTGCTGCCCGTAGGGCGGGGGAGCCGGGGTGGCGACCCTGTCGGCGGGGTTCCCCAGTGCTGGTCAAGGGAGAGACCAGGGTCGTGTCCACTGCCAACTGTGCCCCATTGTACAGGGGGAGTCCATGCGCGATGACCTCGATCCGCCGGTTGTCAAGCCTGCTGGTTGTTGTGACATTGAGGTCTGTGACGAGGACGTGTGTCCGCACTCTGGCGCCAGCTTCTCTGCATACCCGTGCTGCTGCCCGTTCTAGAGGGCCTGCTCTACTCCGCAATGCCCCCGATGTAGCACATGCCGCGCGGTGGTCGCCAAAGGAGTCAAGAGGGCGACGGCACCGGCAGTGACGAGCTGTCAAGGGAAGGGGGAGGCGGAGGCGCCTCAACAGCAGGACCCGGAACAAATCGGACGGGTATGTGAAGTCTGGGCTGGAAGGGATGGTTGTGAATGCCCGGCTGGCGAAAGCTCCAGCCTGGGAGCGGAGCATTGCTTGGGCGGCCGGAGTGGATGATGCCAGGAGTTCGGTGTGGCAACTGGTGTGGATGGGTGCCGATGCTCGGTGTTGCCACCCACGGCTCGCCATTGGTTCTTCCAACGGGTCGGGTGGTGGGTGCTGGATGGCTTGCGTGAGGTCGTTCCAAGCTGGTGGCTGCCAGCCGGCATTGCACAAGGTTTGAGCTGCCAGGGAGGCGGCCTGGAGTGTTGGCAAGGCAGGGGGCTGGTGCTGAAACAAGTGGAGGATGCTGGCGGTGAAGTTTGGCAGTTGCTGGTGCAGGACTGGGAGTGTGTCGGCCCATGAAGCCCAGTAAGCAGGTTGTGCTGTGATTGTGGCCGCGAGCAAGCCTAGCCCGCCTTGGGCGAGAGGCAAATGGGCAGTGGCCAAGGCTGTGGCTGGAAAATCCGTAAGCCCCAGGAGGGTCTGCAAACATGCGGCTACGCTGGTGTCATGGCGCAAGGCGAGCCCTTGCGTTTCTTGGGGGCAAATGGTGCGGAGGATGTGGTTGCAGCGTGGGCTGGCACAGAAAAGAAGCAGGAGCTAGGAAGACTGCAAATCCTCCAACGCTGGGATGCGTTCGAGGAGACTGTGGTGGCTTGCGGT